AGATTCAAATGGAGAGATTGTATGCCACACTGGGGTCTTTACATCTCAGACTTCTTGCACACTAACCAGCGTCCTTGTGGTACAGTAGCTCACTGTTGATAAGTTGAGTGATTTCTCAGGGGCTGTGTAAAATCTGGACCTGGCCACAGAGACACATCTCTTGCTGATGAGCGCTGGAGGCCTCAGTGTTTAAGCGTGGGAGGCGTTCTACTCTTGGGGAAGATCAAGTGTGCTCCCGCAGACTCCAAATCACCGGCCCCCAATTGCTTGGGAGGAACGTTACTCTACATGGCTGGTGTTAAATCTCTGCAGCTATGGTGAGGTCATCCGCTTGTCTTCTTCTAAAGGAGCGCTCAGATCACAAACATACAGCAGTAATGAGTGTGGACGAGGAAAGCAACGCCCAGTTCGCTGCTTTCCAATCTCATTTATTTATCTTAGGGCTCATTTGATGGGGCTTGGGATAGGGTCAGGCACTGGCGCAGCAGATGCCTTCAGGGTATGCTGTTACCACCACACACTTACCAGGACTCCAGGAGCTCACCACATCAGTGTGTGGAGACATTAGTTGATGCAGAATTACAGCCCACCAATATTTTCAAGGAGCAGCCTCACTGGCGTTGGTCAATCAATATGTATTCCTGTGTGTCCCTAATGCAACTGGAAGCACTAGCTGAATACATTTCACCTAGTTCACGCGGAAGACGTAGGCTGCTAAAGTGACAGTCAATGGACTGTTGGGGGAAGGAAACAAGGTTACACGGTTCTATCTGAGCACTGCTGTATGTTTGGTCTATCCTCACACTGTTGGTGAAAAAGAACCTCTCAACAGTATTATTGCAAAAAAAAAAAAAAAGATTAAGATTAAATTGCACTTGATTTAATATTGCTGAAATAAAAGCTTCAGCCTGCCAAAATCTATTACAAATAGTGAAGGAGGGCCAACTCTGTTATGTAGAGAAATATTACATTTCTGGGGCTTCTGGCCTTAGGTAGACATCGAAAAAACCTAAGTAAAGAAATTAGTGATAAAAATAATACTATAATAGATTAAATAATACTACTAAAAACACCAATAATGATTAGAAAACAGGGTTAAGTTTATAAAGCAGATAGCAGACACTCTTTTTCTACTTTGTTTGTGAACTGAAGACTAATGGGACTCATCAGTGCTGACAGAAGTGCTGACAACTGCATTTCAATTCGTGTACAGTTCCACCAAACCCCCTCCTCCTCCCCCCCCCCCACCCCCCCATCAACTGGTCCCTTTGTGCCTATCACTCCTCTAGTCCCCTAGCTGTTGAGTGAGACGTGCGTATGTCTCTATGTTAAACACACACGTCCATACAGACTGAACACAAGGTGCACAGGAAGTTGTCTTCCTGAGTTCAGTGTAGAATTGTTTACATCCACACCTCTGCTAGAGGGCAGGGGGCGGCGGGGGTTTAAATGTGGGGTTTAAAACACACTGGCACCAGGCTAATGCATACAAGTACAATCTTTAACATCCAACAGGTTGTTGACCTGATAAACATAATGTGACGGACAACAGCCTACAAACTTGACCATATAATCCCAGTGGGTGTGACAGGTTTCTCGACTAGAGGGACACCTATGACCCCACTGTCTCCCTTGATGACGACAACTACATGGTGCTGACTCCAGAGGGAAATGATGGGAAAACAAAGGCTCTACCTCCTGCCACCCAGCATCCCGCCCAGAAATTCAGGGGGGAAAATCACTTGGTTCAGGAAACCCCTACCCATTGTTTTGCTTCCTTCATTAGTCGTTGTGTCAACAGTTTGGTTCACTAAGCGTGCGCCACTGTTTTCGTACTGCTGCACCCGGGCTGACCTCAGTGCTCTGATGTTTTGACAGATTGTTTCAAAATCCCATCATGACAATTTACTGTTTTTAAATACAGCAGCCACTTGGAAAACATAAGGTGGTCTGCATGATACACCAAAAGCAAATAATTAGCTGTGTCTAAAATTAAATGAACCTGACGTAAATCTAGAGAGTGGTTTTTGTCAGGAAATTCTTTGAGGCTCAGTAGGGTGTGAGTATGTGTCATTGTTTGCAGAAAAAAAAGTATGTAATGATTAGCTGTGTGCTCTCTAACAACATAACAATCATTCTTTACTTTTCCCAACCGAAGTAGCATCAAATGTTGCTACTACTTGCATCCACTTTCAAGTAAACTTACCATCATCTAAGTACATCTGGTCAAGTTCCTGTGGCTCCTGTTTGACGGTAATGCCCAGTGCAGGGGGGCTGGCATCTTCTGGTAGCAGGCTTGGTGAGCTGCCTCCAGCCTGTGATGAGCTGACTGCTGCCTGACTCTGACAAGGACTGTAGGTCTGCATAAATGGGCTCTCTGCAGTTCCACCTGGAGTGGAAGGATGAGACACTGGGGAGGATGAGGGGCTGCTGTTAGCATAGATGGAATGGTAACCATTGGGTCCGGGGCTGTTGAGGTGAATTGGGCTTCCCTGGGAATGAAGCATCCCTAGGCAAGAGCTGTGGTCTGGTGACGCTGGATGAGCAAGATTAGGCCTTCCAGACATTTCCCTGGTGGATGGCACTACAGGACCTGGTGGTGCTGCATGGGTGGGACTGCTGGGGAGGCACTTGCTGTATGCCACAGGTGTAAGGTCTTGTAGGGTGGGGCTCGAACTGGGAGACGAAGACGAAATGTTAGCATGATGAGGCGAGCAGGTAGGGTAAGCACCGATGAGGCAGGCGTCAGGATCAGCTATAGGCATGATGGGAGTAAGTCTGGGCTGACTGTAGTATGACTTTGGATGCATAGGCAGCCCTGCAGTCCCCAGAGGATCATATTCATCACTTGGTTCTGTCTTTATAATCGGCACTGAGGAGTAAAAATATAAAAAAGTAGTGGTATTAGAAAATGTGCTGTGGATCCACGTGGCACAATGGGTGCACAAGCAAAGCTAAGCAAATAATTGAGCAGGCACAATTGTAGCCGCAGTTCTTTCTATAATCCAAACAAACAACCACCAGTGGATATGGGCTCACTGTCAACTTGGCCGAGTCCTACAATAGAGAAACCCTCATGTCTTCCATTCACCACCCCCTTTACCACACCAGGAACAAAAAAAAGAAGCACAGAAATAGGGGGGAAAGAAAAATGGATGAGTCATCAATGTGGAAAGCCACAGCTGGCTCTAATATTGAAAAAGACCTATTTTCGTTGGACTGTCAACTGCTCTGATATTCAGTAAAGGAGTTCTTTAAAGCACTGGACTGCTGCTGTTGCTGCTCAAGCTGCCTGGGACCCCTAGGTTTCCTGCTCATGCTAGGAGTAATTGCTTCTCTGAGGACCAACAGCTAGAGAGGGAGAGTAAGAAAGGAGAGATGGCTTGATTTTGATTAGGCTGCTTAAGGAACATAAGCTGCAGAAATGTGTCTGTGCATTCTGGAGATTAGGCCAGGAAACTCATGTAGATAATACAAAGGGGTGAAGTCGTCATCTGGTCTTCACATATATTTTCTATCTGTCTGCATCGCCTTCGATTTAAAGGTATGACACATTGTGGTTAGTTGCGCCTGAATCACAATGGCCATGTGTCAAAAAGTGTTATGAGTACGGTGGATTACGTATGCAGCAGATTAGCTCTGTGCTCTCTAACAAAAATATATGTCCATGAACTTAGGTATTGAAAGATAACAGGTGTGATGTGAGAAGCACAGTAATTAGTATTTCTGAAAGCTTGTGCACCTGGTGTTTTTTTCTACTCTCGGCTAAAGTTTCTAAATATTATTTGATGACATCTCCATGCTGCTGTGGTGTTTAGGACAGACTAGGATTTAAACGTTTGGGCTTGACAGAAATGTCTGTGACGTACTGTATGTGGAACTGCATTGGAACTTGATTATGACTATGAAAGCTCTTGCAAATGTATGTATGTCATGAAAAACAGGATGTTGTGTTATTATTTTTTGAGGAGGATTTGAGCAGACGTTAATCGTGCCTGTCGTCTCCCGGGTGCTGAGCTGTGGTGCAGAGACAATGCAGCAGGGAGCCCATTTACGTCAGCCATGTCTGCTCTTGTAGCCCAGAGAGTGGAGCTGGTGTCTGGGGGAGCATCGTAACACAGGTCCCTCGATTCATGGGCCTTCTCGTTACAGCCTTGGGGGGGATTACAAGGGAGTCACATGGCTCACACCACTTTAATACATAGTCGCTTCCTTCAGCAAATCTCTTTCTCTTATCTCCTCTTTGATGTGAAAAGATGCCACAGAGCAGCATGGAGATGGAATGCGGGTAGAAACAAATTCTTTCAACACTGTTAAGTAAGTAAAACAACCTATTTGCCCCAAGTTTATCTCTACTGCCCTTCTTTCAGGAAAAACTTAATATTTTAATTGTTATATTGTTTTCATACACTTGAAAGCAATTTGATCTAGAGATTTATCAAAGTCTTCAAAGAACAAGAGCTGCACCCTGTTGAATGAGGGACCTGCATTTGGATGTTTGTAGCAGGAGAGCCAATAGAAACAACAGGTTTAATTCCAGGCTGTGACCCATTAAATGTACACAACTTCTACATCAAGCCTGTAAAACAATATAAAACTCCCCCCACAATGTGTTTCGACAAATATATTAGAAGAGGTTTCATATTGTGGTGGAGATTTCACAGCCTAATGGTTTTTGCATTTGAAAGGATATAATTGGTAAAGTTTAAGCCAAATAAACAACGTCTCTCATCATCTCTGATGTTTATTTTAGTGTCAGTAAAAACACTAAACCAGAAGCTCATGTTTATGCACCATTTTTGGCAAACGAGAAAAGGTGAAAGTATTGTATTGACAATGAAATTAGGGTTTTTCTGTAATCAAAATGGCAGAGACAAGCCAATTAGGATAAAATCACATTGTTCTTTTATCAAAGTTCCCAAGATTTTTTCCATCTTGTGGCCTTCCTTTTCTTCAGCAAATAAAAAGTAGGTCTTTCCCCAGCTCGGTCCATCTGTGTGTCTCCTTTTCCATTTTAATGTGAAGTGAGAAAACAGATTCAAGCCACTCTCTACTTCAGCTGGCTTCTATTTCCTCTCAAACCTGCGGGTTATGGCCCACAGACAGTTGATGCTCTGCACATGGTTTTCTCTCCATGTCTGGCAGTTCCCTCTCTGTCTGCTCGGATTAAATTGATCAGGCCTTGATTTTTGTATTTCATTGAGTAGTTTTGTCTAAGAAACAGAAATACATAGATCCACAGTGGATACGTGTCAAAGCCTTTATCGGTGTATTTTATAGGGAGATCCTGAATGTGGTTCATATGAATTTGTAAATCATCTTAAAAGGGAAAGATTTGTTAACAAAGACAATCAAGATCCAGTAGTACAGTAGATTGTTGTTGACATCACTGATGTCATTAATCTACAGATAAAGCAATGGACTCATCATGTTTTAACTGCAAGAAATATGCAGTGACATTTAAAATGGAGCAGGTGGTAGTTCATTAACTCAAAGGTACCTGCTGAATGGTGTCCCACTGTGTATACAATCTGGTCACCACAGCATCCTGGGGCCTCAGTGTAACCACAGGTGAGTTTGATGAAGCTCCGTGCTGAAGAAGTCTTTGTCTAGTTTTTGGAAAATCATGACTGTGCAACTATTTCTAACAAAAAAGGAACAGCAGTGTTGTTCATTAATGTTTCTTGAATGTGTCACACAGAACATGTTTCTGTCTCTATTTCTCTCAAGCTACAACCACAGACCTGTGCAGTGGGAGAGTCATCAACCGATTACATTAAGAATAGAATTTGATATTAGAGAGGAATCTCCAAAAAGCCTGTAAAAATAAGAGGGTTCCGAGAAGTTTGCAGCCCACGCTTTTGTCCCTGCCAGCATTTTCTGGGCATGTGTTGTTTAATGTGGTTTCTCTCTCCCTTTTTTTTTTTTTTTTGACGAGCAAAACATCACTTGAATCACGCAACAATAACTGTGAGGAATCTTGGAAAAGAGAAGCTAATTCCAGGAGCCAGATGAGGACAGTTGTGCTTGTGTGTATATTACTCACAGTCACATCAACATAATCAGGCAGTGACCACAAATCCATGTGGTGGTGTAGTATCTCAACAGCAAAGACTCCTCTTCAAGAATTGGCAACAGTGATCTGTACGTAGTTGTATGCATTCAACCACTAAACATAAGGACTGAGGGCCAGGGCCTGCCCACCATGTGATCTCATGATGTCTTTGCTAAAATTGAATTGAAATGAAATTATATTTAAAATATATTTAAAAAAGTCTAATCTACAGTGCAAATGACATGGTATTTATAGGCAGAAAAATGTCAATTTAAAAAGGAGAAGTACGTAGAGTTAAATTCAAAAATACCCTCAGTATTTAAGACAGACAATGCTGCGATGGCTATGCAGCATACGGAAGACACATGGGTTGTAAGGTAAGGGCAAGGTGTGTGTTTCCTCCAAATACTGTGGGTAATTCTCTGCTTTTTTGTTGTTAATGTTCTGCTTGGCTCCTGAAAACAACCATAGTATTTTTCTTAAATGACACTATACTTCAGACCACTTCTGCCTAGAAGCTGTGTTATAAATTAGGGAGAATGCATGTGATGACTAATCACCAATGTCCTGTAGTATCTGTAAACAGGACGTGGTTCTCGTTGACTACCAGTTCTGTGACTACATATTCATTTGGCATGCATTCAGTTATTCACTCAAAGCCCTGTGTTAGCAACTTAGGTTTAAAATGTTAGCTTGAATCTTTTAAAAATACAAACGTAAAATAAAAAGTAAAGTAAGAAAAAGAGACACAATGTGGGACAAGGTAGCGTCTACTCGGTGAGTCACTTATATTTACATCCATATCAAACTCAGGAGCTCTCAACAGTTAATAATACACAAAATGTGTTTAGAATGCCTCCTGTGTGTTGGTGTAAAAACAGGTTGATCCAACAGGGCAGCCTCTGCAGGGATGACCCACCACTAATGTAAATAAACAAGGGCTCACTCTTGGAGGTACACATTTGTAAACAAAGGTACAAACCTGTGTTAATATTGTGTGATTTTACTGTGAATCTCATAACCTTAGACAAATTATCACAATATACCCGTATTATGACCTATTATATACCTATATAAAGAGAACGCGTTCACTCATATCACTCAAGCTTATCTTTGTCTGTTAGCCAGTAGACGGACAAAAACATCTACAGTGTGTTCCCATTACAAAGTGCCGATAAACATACTTAAATATCAGGGATCAAAGTGTCGGAAATATCTATGAAAAGCCATTAAAACAGAAACATAACTATTTACAAAAAAATATTAATTGAAGTGTTTGAACATTTTTCCTGATGTGTGCACTGTGTTCAGCCACCGTAGGTGTTGCATGCATCTGCATTTGTGTCAAAACAGAAAAAACAATGTAGTCACATGGTCTGAATGGAAAATGAAGGTGGTTTTCACCAGTATGTGAGTCCTAGAGGGTGTTTGCGTGTTCCTTCCGGTGTGTCACACAAGTGAGGCTATTTTAGGGGCTGAACTTCTTTTTTTTTGGTTTTTATAGATGAACAGACGGCTTGGTTTGAAACAAAGCTCAGCCAGTGACCACAACTGTGCTTGAAGTGCTGGAAGAGTCTTTTCATAAGAGCAAGCAAAAAAAAAAAGGGTGTTGACAACAATGTGTGTGCAGCACATGAATGTGTGTGGGTGTCCTCTACATCCTCCTCCGACACTGTGTACCTGGTTGTTTCTCTCAGTGAATGCACACGCGCGCGCACACACACACACACACACACACACAAAAGCGGCTAAAACCTCAAAAGCTTGAGGCTTTACTTAAGTCGCCATTTTTTGTTATGTTTTGCAACAGTGACTGCATTAAGATTTCCTGCACCACTGTTTGTGTTCATGCTAATTATAACTTTTCACACATTATTACCTCTCTGTAAATTATCTCTCTTCATGCAGCAAGCACGCATTGTGCAACTAAGACACATTCATTTTTATATTTGTAACTTGATTTGTGTTTACAGCTCCTCCAGGACGTGTAAAACTACAATACATGGTAGACAGAGGAAGCTGAACGTCTGCTTGGTGTCACCCAGGGACTGTTTTCTTTGCTGACGTGAGATTGCACACCAAAGCAGTTCTGCCTGGGCTGCTATCCAGTGTAGTTGTAGTACCACACTCTATGATTTCAACGCTGATTACAAGTGTTTTTCTTTATTGGTAAAATGCTGCTTTGAGTATTTAAATGTTGTAGTCGTCAAGTATGTACACATCCTGCTCCGTGTGATCTCTCTGGCGGTTACACTTGTGTGTCAATTATGGGAAGACTGCGTCCCTGCTTGTGTGGTCCACGCTGAACTTGTGGTTAACTTGGCAGCAAAAGAGAGAAGACAACGAGTCATCTTTTAATTGGAGTTGAGTTTGTGCTCAGGGAAATTACTTTGCGGGGCTGATAAGCATCCACATCTCCATCTCAGTGGCACCGCAGTATGTGAGATGGACATGCTATATATGGCCACGGTTCGTCTTCCTCACGTTCGTCCTAGCATCTCCTAATAGGGCCGTGGTCCGCGTTCTCTCAGCACTTCGTCTCGAAACTCAATCATTTATCTTCCCCAGCCATTAGTGCATCTGCTGATTTTCTTAATATGAATAGCGTTTCACAGTTTATGCAGCATTTCTAGTTGCACTGTGTAAAGGAAGAAAAACAACCTAAAATATAATAAAACTTCACATCTGTCGAATGTAACTAATTACACCTATATGTAAGTAATTACTAAGTTAAATTAATACAAGAATAATAACCAGAATGTGGTATAAACGGATTATCTACCAAAGTCTTTGTATTTGCAGTGGTTCACCACATTGATCAGACAATACTGAGTTGGGCTATATTATTTGTAAACACAGAAAAAATCTTTTCCCCTCATAAATAATTCAGATGAGATTCTTTTGGTGTATCTCTCTCTGGGATCTGAACATTTACTTTTCTTTTGCATTATCCATAAAAAACATTATTTACAAAGAAACGGAGCCAGTGACATCATTATAGACTGTGACTCTGTCTAGAATTTGGAGACATCGTTAGCATTTCTGTGCTTGTGCACATAGGATATCGGGAGTATTCCGAGTGCAATTCTTTAAGTCTCTTATCACATCTGGTACGTCACCTGTCCTCACTATAAAAAAAGACAGAGTCCGTCAACGTAATTGTCTAAGCATTAACTCTGAACCCTCACAAATACATTCTTTGAATTCCGATGTGAAAGTCGTCTATACACACTGAGGCCCAAGAAACACAATAAACACACAGGTTTTCAGGTCGCTACATGAACAGCAGGGAACTGTGTGGCACGTCGGATAAGCGTGTTTGTGCACATGTACAATGCCTGTTGTTGTACTGCGGGGGGCACGGTGGGGGGCAGTGTGAAAGTTGGGTCAGGAGGGGATTGACTCTTTGACATTAACAGTGCTTGAAGGTTCTGTCACTCAGCAGCTATTTACCTCATCGCAGAGGAACGCATGTCTCACCACAGAATAAACACACCACGTCTTCTGCTATCAATCACAGGTTACAACCCAAGAATAACATGCTAACACCTGAAAACCCATGTAGCATAATGCTAATGCTAAAGTGGAGTGGAGAGTGCTACTGTTAACACATGGGGCTTTAGAACGCACAGACAATCACACCTGAATAGTTTAAAAAGTTCCATTACCGTTAGCAGGCAGGTAGGTGAAGCTCTGGTATTGGCTCTTCTTCCTTTTGCCGTTACACACGTAGAAGTTAACGTGGACTGGGCTGGATATCCTCTGGTTTCTGTACGGTGGGATCTCCACAACAACAGAGTTCTAAAATACAAACAGATTACAGATAAGATCATTCATGACAATGAAATAAGACAAAACCATATGTTCACAGTTTAGCAGCATTTTACCTAATCATTGTAACAAAAAAACATTGTGAGAAACATTTATAAATCAATGAGGGAGGGGGGTATAGTAAACCTAAACAACTAGATAGTTGTTCTTCACCCCTGGTATAAATGAGAGATTTATTTACTTTTCCATCTCTCCCAGATCAGAATTAGATACCAGGACAGGGGACTCTGGGAAACGATAGGGACACATCTGTATTCTCCATTTCAGCCTGCCCTCCAGATGATGACAAAAACATCATACAGATGGCCACTGGCTGAGGTGAACAGTAAGCACCTGTGCATGGCTTTGCTATTTTGTTTCAGCTAAAGAGAGTTAGCATAAACTAGACAGCAAAAACACGCAGCCTAAAGCAGTTCAATCTAGTTTGGGGGGAAGTACAGAACGCCAGTTTTCTCTCACTGCTCTGAATATTGGTTTGTTATAAGTACAAATACACAGACTGCAGCATTTGTCTTTCATCAACCTCTTTACCCCCTCACCAGTGCCCCCGGCTGCACCTTGCCTGCCTGCTAATTTCCCAGCTTCTAGCCACAACATATCAACAAGGTCGTCAGGCCAATTAAACACCAGAGTCCATATTCACCCCCGTGATGCAACCAAGTCATTTACCTGAGTGAAATAACAGCAACAAGGATAAGAAAAACACCCTCGAGTCACCCTACGTAGTTCCTGTCTTAATTTATTAAGCTTGGGTTTACACCTACAGAGGAGATTTGGTGAAAATTCCATCAAGGATTGCATGGGCTAATCATTGTTGTCTGTGTTGCAACGTTGTAATGCCTTAGCCAAGATTACATCATTACAAGGGACAGATGAGAAGGAGACAGAGAGAAGAGGAGGAAATGTCAAGGGATGGTTAGAGACGGCAGCAGCTCTCTGAGTGAGTAATGGCGCTGCAGTGAACTCACAGATTTGATGGAGTCCTTGTCAACTTTGGCTTCTGTCTCCCACAGATGATGTCCATCTATCGATGAAAGAATAAAAAACACAATTAAATATATCCTGTTATAAACTGCATCATTAAAAAGAAGAGGTTTAAATGGTTAGCCATAGCAGTCATAACTGTAAATAAGAGAGATGTGCTCTGGAAAAGGGCATTAGGGATTCTGAGCTTTCAGATGAGTGCAGTGCTGAAATGTTGGTTTAATGACATGGAAATAAAATGCCAGAATTTCCTTGTTTTGACTGCTGTTTTTTTCTACTGTACATTATTCTTTAGAAAGCAGCTCTTGTTTGTTCTCTCTTTTCTTCTGTCTTGTTGTGGTGAGGAGGTTTTGACTTGCTGCTGCTGCTGTGCAATAAAAAGGCCTGTGAAGTGCAGCAGCTGCTGGGAGTCTGCAGAAGCTCAGCTCACATTCTTTGGGTTTTTGCTGTGATTTCATGCCACACCTCGAGGAACAGACGCTCTGGGCTCTGGTAGGGCAATCAGCACCAACCACTGTGCCATTTTTTTTCAGAACTGATGACTCATTAGCGCTGTCAGAAATAGAAATGACACAGTAGAGCCTTTGTGAGCCATGCTGGGCAACAGTATGGGCTCCATGGGCACTGACATGCTGGTGGGGCAAGAAGCATCTGTGCCTTGGTTGATACAGTGGTACAGTAAATGCTGAAATGCTGCACATTGTTCCAGAAAGATGAACTCTCAGATAATGAGTGGCACGTTTCAAATAACCTTGGAGATCTCAATGATGTAAACATATTTTTTTTTTTCTCTTCGAAGCATGAAGTATATTTTTCACCTCACGCAGCAGGCAAAAGAAAAATGATCCCAGACACAATGAGCAGTGATACTGGAGGCAGATGGTCATCATTATTATTTAGAAAGGAAGCATGAGCCCATATCTCTTTTCAAAAAGGCCATATTAAAACTTGGGGAAGAAGAAAAACAGACGTTAAATAAATCAGATAAGGCTTTTCTCTTCAAACTGGGGAAAAAAGGTTCCATATGGAGAAATATGCCTCTCTTGAATAGAAATGATGTGGATGACTGAAGAGTGAAGGGGAAACAGAGGGGTACACAAGTGGTATTCCACAGGTGATTGAGACGCATAGAAGAATGACGCAACTCTGCAGAGTGGCTATAAGGGTATGGAAGGGCAATTAGAGTGAGTACGCACAGAAGGAAGGTCAGAGAAAGTGAGAGACAGCCAGAGATGAATGTTTCTCATGTTACGTCTAGAGGAACCAAAAGGGAATCACAACTGCCTCTGCTCTGGGAGACGCTCCAAAGAGGGAAACCTTAGCCTGCAACGTCAACCCCAGCCTCTTCTAGTAAACATGTTTTTCAAACCTTTCTTTCTCTTTTATCACTGATCTCTCTCTCTTTTCTCCTGATCTTTTCACTGAGCTGAATGACAGTTAAATCACAACGTTCCAGAAAAGTAATTTAACAAGCAAAGAGTGAAATTATCTACAGTCTAAGACAGCTACAGATTAGGGATGGGGCCACGTGTGACATTACCTCTACGTGTCAAAGAGCAACGTGCAACTGATAACCACAAAACGTTCCATTCACTCCTTCCATGTAACATCTGCAAAATGCTTCTGTTCCCGACACCACCTCCTCTTTCACGCAACGTCCACCCACCCACACACACACACAGATGCAGATACAAGCACACACACACACACACAGGCCACAGCAACCGCAGCATCCTCTGTGTCTGTTCTGGCCATCAACTTGAGTGATAAGACAGGGAAGCACAAAGCAATAGGAGGTGCATAGGAGTTATGTTTGGAAAATTATTGGTATAATTCAGTTAAATCCAACTGAAAAGAATGGAGAAACATATGAAAGGGTACACAGACAAATAAATTACAAACACAAACTCATTTTAAAGGACTTGTGGAGATTTTTAACTGGAGGGAAGCCACCTAGTTTGGAAAAGATTTCTACATGCTATTCATTTTATTTATGCCTGGAAAATCAAATTGCACAAAAAAGGAGAAATTCAATATAATATGTATTTAGCAAAACACATAGAAAACTATCTTAAAATCTATAGTAAATGAATGCCCAGAATTTGCATAAATAAATATTGTGATCCAAAATGTTATTTAAGAAAGGCATAGAGTTAGCTTTTAAAGGTGACTAGAAAATAATAGCAGCATTGAAGTCTAGTAAATAATCCAAAATGCATAGTTTTTAAGGTCATGTTAGGTCATTTTGCATAAAATTAAAAGAAAACTACAAGGTAGAAAACAATATAAATATATTAGTTAAGAAGTAAGTTAGAAAAAGATTATCAACATTTTCCAATCAAAAAAAAAAGCTACAAATAGCTAAAGCTCAACGAAAAATTCCAAACAAAGTTGGCCGACAGGAGAAGTTGAAAATTGCCCCAAGAATTGTATTACCCACCTCAAACAATTTTCAAGTTACTACTGGTTTTGGATTGATTTTGGACGCGCGTCTTCACTGTGATTCATGGGAATAAAACCTAACCCTCCTGTAGCCTGGGCAACGCACTCACTCGCCAGGTGTTTTGATGACAAATAGGGAGAGGCTATTTTTAAGAACTTTTCATTTCTTGACAACTCATCCTCTGTTTGGATAGTAACTTGGACGTTGATCTGGGTTTCAGCAAGAAAAACAAAAAAAAACAAACTAACACATTTGTATCTTTAATCAGCTGTGTTAAATTTGTTTCTGACAACAACCTGTTTTCATTTTGGTTGACTGCCAGAAAAGTTTACGTTACAAATTGCTTCCTGCTAAAGTTAAGTCAGTTGTTCAATCTCTGAAAAAACAAATCCTGTATTATTTGTGTGCGTAGTAGAGAAGTAAAACCAGAAACATTGTTCTTTCTGGTCTTTCCTTTTCAGGAGTAATTCTCTTTCTCCTCGGTTTATTTATATATGTTGGGTTTATTTTTAAAGATTTAACACACTGCTGGTACTGCCATCACCAGAACCAGAACTGAGAAACGCTGCGGTAACCTGACTGCTGTATTTTCACAGCAATTACCTTGTTGTCCAGTGGGGAGAAAAACCAAAAAGAACAAAGGGGTTCCCCCGTGACTGATCCCTTTCCTGAGGCACATGCCAATCGGAGGTCAGGCGTAATCTGAGAAAATTAGGTCTGCATTGGCTCGAGAGACTTCCGTTTATAAATTATGGCTGGGCTGTAAATTTGTGATAGGTTTATTGTCAGGAAATTAGTTATTATTGGTGTGTATCTGTGAAACCCTGAGCTGAGGTGACCTTTGGTTGCAGACCAAAGACGACCACAGCCTACAGAGTTGGATTTCATGCTTTTATCAAGACTCCAGTTGGCGTTGGCAGTGTGGCGATGGAGGCCTTTATGGGGTATGTTGTTTTGGAGTCGAGTATCTCCATAATTGCAAACATTCTTTAGGTTTCACAGTGTATATCACTCATCTAATCATACAGGCTTGAGCATTCATGAAGATCAGCATCAGAAATGTTCAGACAAGTCTAGAGAATGAGTCGAAAAGGTAATCTACTCGCCATTGTCTTTTAATTCAGTTGAGATTTAGAAAAAAAAAAAAAAATATATATATACATGAAAAACTTTCCTTAAATAAAATGCACCCAGAATTATACATTGTGATATTATTAGAACCTCTAAAGTGGTACTGATTGTTTCTACCTCTTTTACCCCATTTTTCTCCATTCTTATTGGATATAGCATATTAGCATATTTTGTGCCCAGTGGCAGGACTTAAGCTGTTCACTGTATTAATAATACTGGGTGGAGACCAAGTCTTTAATCTATAGCTTGAAGCCAGGGTGGATATTGAACTTGAAATGCCATAACACCAAAATCTATGAGTCATAATTATGCAGGTTATAGTAGCCTGCAGCCATAACAGCCGTCTAGACATACCGCTAGAAGTACAATACATCGACCAGGTTGTCTGGTGTTTAGACTTGCCCAAGGTGAAAGCGTCCAACCAAGTATAAACATTCTTTGAATGAATCAGTAACAGTGCAGATGATGTAGTCTACGAGGCCTGGGCCACACAAATATTACTGTCTGTTCATGTGATGATTTCACACTACAACAGACACTCATGCTGACCTGTGGTGTCCTGATGTGACACGTCATACTACAGCTCAGGTATCTCAGTGTTTTTGATCTTCGGTCCGATGTGGAGAAGCCCAGATTTCTCCTACTTTGACCGAGGCTGTGCGGTGGTGGTGGTGGTGGTGGTGCTGCTGAGCTCCAGGCTGAGCTCCAACCCAACCAGATGTAAAAACTATCCAGCTCACCAGGGAATTCCCTCACCTCCCCCTGAGTCAGAGTGTAGGCTTTCCCCAGCTTTCTCTCTCTATTCCGCCCTCCCTGCCTCTCTCTCTCGCTCTCTGTTTGTCTGTCTGTCTGTCTCCCTCTTTTCCCTGCCTCTAGCGCTCATTCCATCCATGGAAAGCAGGACAAGCCAGAACACACATTTTGCAATAGGTGCGCCAGGTATGTCTCCCAAACACTGAGCCAAAAGAGTGGTTCGGGTTAACCAAAACACTAGGACAACCTCTACACACCCACACACACACAATAAATTTAACAGAAAAATTAAACTATGCAAACGAAGGTGGAAAGATTTATAAATGCCCACATTACGGCCTTGTGAGGGGTAAATCTTTCCATTGCAGTGAAAAATAGATGATCTATTAATGACACTTGTCAACAACAATTACCTCTGAGGAAGAATGTTTACAAATCTAAGAAACAATCCACGAGCTTGTCCTTGAGTTCACCATTAACTAGAAGGCCTCTTCAACTTGACAGTGATAAATTGAAGTGCTAGGAACAGCAGGTGGAATGAGTTTAGTTTATCTCTAAAAGCATCAGAGCGTTTGTTGGGATCAGACATCACGTCAGGATAAGAATATTTACATTCTCTGATGTCTCAATACGAAAGGTCACAGTAAGAAAGCTCCGTACAGTTTTTTTTTTTTTTTTTTTTTTTGTCTCTCCTCTTTGTCTAATCTCTGAGGGTCTCCTCTGTTCCGTTTCACATCTCTGCAGGGATTCCCTCTCGAATGACTCATTGAAAACACTTCCTACCGCACAGTGCAAACAGGCCCCGAGGCTCTACAGCAATAGTGGGCCCACACAGCAATAAACAGACACATGCAGCGGATGCACTGAGTTTGCATCAGTTGTCCTGTGGGTGATGAAGTGGTCCAGCAGGGATGGATGGATGTGGCTTTTGACGAGGAAAAAGTAATTATTTTTCAAGGTCCAATGAGCCGTTCCACAGTGGCAACAGTGAAAAGCTCCGCTCATTTGATACCAAAAATTTGATACATCTCAGAGGGGCAGTGTGAAGATCAAAACAACAAGAAAAGCAAGAGACCAAAATAAAGAGGCATAAAAATGTTAACCTTTTGCAGTTTGGTGATACTACGAAGCAGCCTGTCGTGCCTTGACTTAACCAAGCAATCGATCTCCAAGAAAGTAGGTAAACAGTTAAAAAAATCATGAATGTATATCTGAGCAGCCGCAGGACACTACAGTAAGAACCATATTATTGAGTTCCAACCACAAGACGTTAAAATCTTCCAGGATTGATTTTTCAGCCATGTTTTATTCACAGTAGCGAGCCCGTCTCTTTCCTCCTCTCAGCAGTACTTTGATTTACCTGAAACTAAAAGGCTTCTGTGGAACTACGGTTGAATGGCACCTAACTATTCTGGCCACTGAAACTTTCAGTATGTCAGAGGAAACTAAAATGACTTAGCTTGGAGAAACAAAAACCTTCAGGATTGTTTAATATTCAGGAAGGTATTTATCAGAGTGTTTTTGAGTCACCACTGTGACTTTAAAGGCAGCAGCAGCAGAAGAGGCTGTCACCACTGAGACAAGTAATAATTGGTTCTGTGAGAGTTCAACTATACACAGTCGTTTTTACACTGGTTTGTATCTGACAGCGGAAATTATGCGAGTGTAAATCTAATAATTTCATGGCTTTATTGAGGAATTTGCCCTCCCAAGAAAAATAAAGCCAAAATGATAAATTATGGAGTAAGTCAATTAATATACACTAGTAGTGTAGTTTTTTCCACCTTGTCCTGCTTCCATCTTCAAACCCCTCATAAAACAGCAAGACTCATGGATTAAAATGCCAAAAATTAAAATTTTGAAGAACATTTGGAACCTCAATACTTTTCCACATTTGTACTTGCTCCTACTGTAGACAGTTACAGATGGATGTGTTCCTTTGTACGAACTTATCGGTGTGTTGTTTTATTGAGTGATTTCACTCTGACTCTGGACTCCCTGGATGTGCTGGGACATCATACGTTTACATTTAATCCTTTTTTCTCTTTGCTTCTCACTCAGCCACCCTTATTCTCCTCTGCCCCCCCTTCTTGACACCACAGAGACAAAAACAAACCACTGAAATGTTGATGGCAGGCTTCAGTGTGGGGATCCCGTGAGCACAGGGCTCCACGCTGCCTAATGTCTTTAACGGGTATTGAGGATAGAGGTAATAGGAACAGGGAGGATGAGGGAGTGAAAGGAGAGAACAGGAGGAAATAAGGCTGCCGACTGCTGGAAAGAGAAGGTGAAAGAAAAAGGGGGGGTGGGGGGTGGGGGGAGTCTGACTCGCCAACAGCAGGGGGTGGGGAGGCAAAAGGTGTATTGAATGAATGGACTTTCCTTCCAGGGCATCCCCCTCCATGACTAAGTGAGATCAGCAGCAGGGGGACCCCCAGGCTGCCAAGTTCAAACCCCCCACATGTTGTCTTCCTTTTTCCAAGCTGTATTGTGAACATTTTTGTCAGTTTTTAAGAACCTAATACACTATACATCCGTGTTGTTTTTAAATATCTAACAGCCATTATTAATGACTTCATACATGAAGAGAATGGGGCGTTTTCTGTCACCTATGGTTAATTTACAGGCTCTGTTTGTTTATCAGCTGAAGAGTCACACCAGTCGATGGGCCACAGGGGATTACTGGTTCACTCAGGTATACTGGGAAGAGTCCACAAACAACTGACATAGAAGGTGGGAATCTGAGCATTAGAATTATGTGTACGCATTAGTGTACCTGGGCATCACAGTACCCACAAAACCTACACAAACTTTTAAAGACAATGTTGCTTTTAAATAACTAATTTCGAAAATCTAATTTGATTTTTTTTTTTTTTTGATTCCAGTTCAGGCTTTAAAGGTTGAAATTGTAGCATCTCCATGACATAACAAATACTAAATGATCGTCCCTAACTCGTTATTGTTAATCCATTTTGATAATAAAAAGTGGTTTTAGGTACAGAGGTATAGTGGTGTTAGTTGCTCATCACTGTATACAGTATCAATAGTCTCTAATCAACCACTGCTTCTCTTCACATATAGAGGAAACAGTATGTAAAAAGCCAGGTGGATTAAGGAGTGGCCTCCTCTGTCTCCTCTGAATCAGTGTGACACCATGAGGATGAGTATCCAACAGTGCAGGAGGAGAGAGAGAGAGAGAGAGAGAGAGAGTGGAAAAAAGCAAATGGAGGAAATCTGGTCAGAGTCGACGGTGAAAGTAGAGCGAGTGAGAGAAAGAGACGCTGCACATGCCCTTCTTATGATTCATCCCTGAACTTGTGGCTAGCACCAGTGAACAGGCAATGGAAACTTCAGTAAATGTAAATACACTTTGGTTAAAAATATAGTGGCCTAATGCACACCACATGTGGCTCTCTGGCAGGGCCTGGTCTATTTTGACGGGAGGAGAGACCGGGGGAAATGCGACAGAGGAAGAGAGTGCAAAGACATATATGAGAGAGATATAAAAGAGAGGGAGGGGAGGGGGCGGTAACGTCAGCTCACCCTGGGCCTTCTCCACAAACACCACCTTTGAGTCAGGTAGAAAGTTGAGGCCACTCAGGAGCATCATTTTGCCTCCTGCAGCAGGGTAACTTTCCACACTCTGCTTCTCAACCAAAGGAAGCTCCTGGGCTGAACGCTGAGCTGTTGGGAGGAAACAACATTTCATTTCAGTGACTGAGCCCCAGGAGCTCAAAGCATATAAAACAGCAGCACTTGGTTTTCTTCACGTGCTTGTCAACATCATAGAGAAGAAATCACCATCTCTAGCTCTAACAAAGCTTCATCCAACAGCTGGGATTTAAAATGTAACTTATAAAAGCTATATTTTCCTGCTCATATCTATTACATGAATGGTTCTGCACCCACTCATCTGGTTCAGCTTTCTGTCGACGAGTTAAGACATTTACTATAAGATCCCATGATGTGCGGAGCCTCTAACCTCATCTGACCATAAACTGTAATCATTTCATGTCTTTGTTAGTGCATGAGACTCACAGCATTCAATTGGGTTGGAGGCAGCCTGCAGGGACACCGTTCTGCCGTTAGGCTGGTTGATGTGCACTCGGAAAACCAACCTCACCCGTGTGTTCTTGCGTCCAATGTCTGTTTCCCCTTTGCGCAGTTCAATGTCGGAATTACGGAGCTTCAGGATGCCTGCACAGTCGATTCTAGGAGAGAAACAGAAGAATGAAATTGAACACCATAAAATAACATTTTAGACCAGAGATTAGAAAGATATATTTTATAATTGGTTACACATGTCCAAAAGTCTGGCCCATAGGCAGGTCGTGACAGATACCTTTCGTGTTTCTTTTTTATCATCAGTTCTAAGTTAAGTTGTTTTAACTTGGGTAACCTTTTAGCTTTCACCCTTTTCTCGTTAACTTCAGACTACGTTTGCTCGTAACGTGTTCACCCCTAATGATCAGCAGTTTCGGAATCAGAAGTGCCGAGCATAAACATATAAGCAGTATTAATCAAGCACATATTTGGAGACAATGTTGACTGTTAATGAATTCATGTTGTATTTCTTTTTAGGATTATTCCAGTTGCCAGGAATAAGCCGTTGTCTCCTGTATCCCTCTGGCAGTACAACACGTTTGAACACCACCACACGACGCAGTCGACACACAACATCTGCAAACCAATATATTCCATAGATTTAAAGCAGAGTAAAACTTTGGTAACCATTGCCACATGTGCCAGTGGAGCTTTTTTTATTAGCTGTCTCTATTAATTTCATTTCACAATTCGGGAGGTAATTTGATGAATTATTCCTCCTCTGTAGTAATGGAAAAACAGCATTCATTTTCAGACATAACCTTTGATGAATTTAAATTTAAAAAAAATCTTCTGTGGCTGATGAAAATTTTATGGTTTGACATTTGAGATATTTCATATGTTGACTATTTTAGAACCGAATTATGTCTTTTTTTTTTCATCTGTCCCTTCACTTAAATTGAATTTTCCATATTTAAATGATAAGAGAAACATGATTTTTAATGCAAAGACTATATATCAAATATAAGATGGTTGGCTTACTGACACTTTTTAGATTAAATTACCGAAAACCACAAAAAATACATGGGAAAAAAGTTCAAAGACAAGCTAATAAAGATGGTAAATATACGGGGCGTCATTGTGCACTGACCTCACAGTCAGAGAAAAAAAGTTTCCAGGATCAGACATCAGACAGACTGAAACTGTCTGCAGGTCTCGAACTTCTGCATCCTTCACATTGCTTGATAGATGAGAAATGGATGCTGTATTATCTAAATGACTGTTAAACAGTTCTGTGGAAAACAGGCGGTTGAAGCATTTGCCTCATCTTTGACCTTTATTAAATGTTGCCAAGGAAGAAATGGAGAACACTCACTCCTCTTCCTTCAGCAAGTCTGCTGACGACAAAGAGGAAATGAAACTAGCCCTTGTACTATTTACATATCAAATTCATCCTGGGGGATATAATAAATCATATAGGCATGGGGGGGTGTCCCAAAAAAGTGATTGGGTACACAGTAGTACAATACACTCAAAAATCAATATCAGCCAATTTTTTCCAAACGTCACTGCCATGTGTCTGTGAGCCTACCGTGAATGTATTAATGTAAGCATTTCACAGTTCTGGGACCCAGTCCAATACGTATTAACTGCTACCTTGTCTGGGGCCCAAGGAAAGGAGCCATTGCTTGGACACATTGCAGAGCACAGCTCCTTAACTGCATATCAAGGGGGAGGCAAGCCTGGCTTACTTCAGCCTGGCAAAGTAACTGGGAAGGTGAAACCAGGTTAGGCTCATATAGGTCCAGTCTATACAGTACCAGCATTTCATACCCACTACCATATGGGATACACAGAGAGAGACATTATTGCAGTTGCGTTCAAAAATGATTGAAGGTATGGTACAACTTTAGCCAAAAAGGTTAAAATAAAATTTATAAATGTTAAAAAATGTAAATGGTTGCACTTTTGACAATAGCAAATTCCTGTTGAATTTTCCTAAACCATTTTCAATTTTACAAAAGAGCAATGAAAATAATTGAAGTGCTCTTAAATTACAGACTCTCCTCTAAATGTACTTTATGTAATTTAATTGACACACTACACTTAATTAAACACACTGCAAAAGAACAGATAAAAAAAACAAGACTGGAGGTTTCCATGGCGACAAATGTTCAGAGTGGAGGGCTGGGGCTCTGCTCCCAGTATACCTTCTTCAGCAGCCTTTTACTTGCAGACACTGTCCAGATTTGAGTAACCCCTAGAGTAAGACTTGTTGACACAGTATTTATGTCATCTTCAGAAATATAATGTCTTCTTATTGGAAATATACACTGCAGTTTTATTACCTTTGAAGATGTCAGTGCTGCACATCGCCTGTTGTCATGCATATTGTCTATAAACCTTTGGACCAAGGCTTGTGAGAAAAATATATTGCTTGTGTGTGTGTATGTTTTTTGTTGGGTTACTGGAGGAAATATGGAAAGAATAGATGAGTTGTGGAAGTCTTTGTGCACTCACATGGCTCTCATGTTGTTTTCGGGCAGCAGAGGGATCTCCAGAACTTTGGTGTTGGATTGCATGACTTCATGACTGGCAGTAGAGACGGTTTTGCCGGTGATGCGGTGAACCTGGTAGAAGGCATGTGGTCGCAGGAGGCGGTCGTCTGCAGTCCCAATGAACAGCTGCAGGGTTAGCGGCTCACTTTCCATGTAGCCATAAAGCTGGCAAAAGAACAAAGGGACCCAGGTGAGAGGCAACATTCAACAAGTTTTAGGACCCCCATCAAAGGCTCCCCCTAATTTAGTTAGGTATGGACTGAATGTACATTCACTGCTGTAGTTAAATAAGACTAAGGCTGGACTAAAAGGCATATCGCTGATTTTACTTGACATTAATTTGGGTTCTGTTTATAAGTTTGGTCTTATTCTCCTTTTAACATTCTCCACATTATTTAAATGCTGCAGGTATATCAACCAGACAAATTAGCTAGGCAGGATGATAGATTGATATTTCTAGAGTAATATTTCTATCTCAAAGATAAATAATGGTTTTCCAATGAAAATATGTCACGTTGATGGAAGTATATTAAGCCATAGCCTTGTTTGTTTTAAAGTTGTTTCAAAAAGGCTTTTTCAGCAAAATTGAACATTTTTTTCCTTGCTCATTTTTCATTTTTGTTCAAGGAGAGGCTTTTATGGTGCCACCGAGTCTGCACAAAGTGGAGATCTCTGGGAGCTAAGGGAGGGGCTATCTTTTCCCCCACTTTTCCATCACTTGACTTTTCTGACCATAGTTGTTCAAGAAAGATCCCAGTAGAGATGCACACAAAAATATACAAGTACATGCATGAGACTAAGACCCATATTTTTCACCTTTAAGGTTGATATAAGAAACAATTCCCTGCATGTGTTTAACATCTGGCCATGTAGGTAACCAAATTTACACCTTTGCATATCTAATAGCATATAAAAGCCTAATGAAGTGTTGCATGCGTACGGAATGCAGATGCAACGCCTTCAGGACGTTATGAACGTGTATTATGATTTCCATTAACGTTCCGAGACTGTTGTCCCACTGTGAAGAAAGAGGCTGCTGTATCAAAAAAAACACCACTTCAAACAACCTCCACTTCCTCTCATGGGCCTCCCATTAGCTACCACTAACAAACGCTTAACTAACAAATAAAAGTCAGCCAAAAACCTCCAGTTTCATGAAAAAAAAACACTATTGTCCTCCATGTCCACAGCAGTCTAAATCTCAGCAGAATTAATTGACGTGTATTTCATATCTGCAAAATATCAAACTACACTTAGTGTTGCAGGCGTTGTGTAAGACATATGACACTTTTTGTTGTTTGAACAAAATTATTTGCCACTTAAATTGTGGAAATTCAGTGGAACAGAGCCTCACATTGCAGACCTCCCAAGATCGTCTTTCTCCTTTGCAAAACAAAGCATTTATATGACCATGTGAGTGAGTGTTGACATGGGCTTCTAAACCTAAAATAAATCTGACAGGAAGCTCCAGAGTCCATCTGGTACATTCAGTGGGTAGAAGTTAGAATAGACCTCCATGGATCCATCCAGGTGTCTGCCTGACCACACATTGACATTTAGCGTGAGTGAACACTTATTCAAGGCCAGGCCACTCTGAGCTGGAGTTGCCACAGGAATACCACTAATTGGTCAGTTACTCCACAGCTCCCACCGTCACTTTAGACCAATTTTCTTTGAGCTGCACACGACTAAAAACAGTGGTACTGTCAAATGGAATAAAAGACCCCCGCTGTTTATTTAACAGACTTGGTCATATAACAAAATGCAGACCACATGTAACCTATGACATAATCGGATTAATGCGTTTATAATTACCTATGTGAGGTCAAATACAGGATTGTGAAAAAGAGGAGGAGAGCTACGTCATGACTAGACCGTTGAAATCAGGGCTGCAGTGTCATGGATGCACAGCTTTGTGGTTTGAGAGCAGAATTTGGACAGTGGAACATATGGGTTCTCCCCCTTAACACAGTTTAAAGGAACAATTCAGTTTAATAAAAATAAATTAGGCCTTTCCACCTGAGAATACTTGACACAACACCTATAATTCAAGCACCAGCGGTTGTTTGACTTATCAAGAGAGACCAAAGGCTGAGCTGAGACTGTCGTTCATCTACAGTTCCAACCATCCCATTTTTCTCTGCACCTCCTCAGTGTCTGTGAACAGCTGTCCTGACCTGTGAGTTAGTCACACATGCAAGTCATCAATGAGTTAATCCAAGGTCACGGGCTTCTTGAAGTCTTGGCATCCCAAGGGCCCACTTCATTTCTGCAGTGATCTCACTGGCAGACCTGCTCTGCTTGTTATATTTTACTTATGGTGTCACCATGGGTAATTATCCATAGCCACACATGCTACCAGTTACTTGCTTATTGACTTGAGTGGGGGTTGGAGGTGTACATTGGACCATGAGGTACAAATCTCGAATCACAGAAGCGTTGTATTGCACAAAGTTTCATCTTAATTTAACAAAACGCAGACAGTTCCACTTCAAAGCAATGCCACCTGTCACTTTTAGCCCAATTGACTTCTCAGGATTTCTACACAACCTACAGCCATTACCTCAGCTGCCACGTGAAAGAAAGGAGGCCAGGGGGTTGGAGGTGCGGGGGCGTGAAGTCCTGATGCCGGTAGCTCTCAATGACGTTTCTGTCCTCACATGAAGCCGTAGTGACCTCATGGAGTAAAGGAAGTGATTAACGATCTCAGATAGTCCTCCAAGTGATGCCTGTCTTCCCAGCAGCTAAGAAAGGCATTCTACTGTCCCCCACGCGACCACCTCCTCCTACTCAATTCCTTTACCATATGTGCTCCTCTGACCCTCTCCCTCAGGACTCCCGTCCACTTTTTTTTTATCAAAACTCTTGTGTGTTAAATCGAATACAAACCACCAGCAGAAAGCACAATTCTGTTCTCAAAGGCCAAATGAAATGAAGGAAAATAAAGTGTGGTAAACTTTGGGTCATGGCAGATGACATGAGGCTTCACACACACCTGTGATCTCAGCTGTGTATTGGTGTCTGCTGCTGCTGCTGCCTGCAAGGTTGGACCATTGAGTCACTAATGTTGACCAGATGAGCGCCTCTCTCTCTCACTCGCTCGCTCTTGCTGTGACTGCAGACTGTTTAGCACACGCAGATCGTATATTTGTTTTCAGATAATCGAAAGAGTTGTGGCTCAATTTGCAGCTGTTTCAAGGTGTCAACTTCTGCCACTGTGCCAGCCACAATCATTTACACCTCCTGCTACAAGCCACTGATCCAAAAGCCATTTTTTTAAATAATTGAGGCTCAATTGAAACATTGTGGATATGGCAACTGATGTGTTAATTGTGTAATTGAATGCAGCTGTACTGTCGCAGTTCAGTGATGATGGTGTGGGAGGTGGGTATGTCAAAAGTACTTCCTCCATTCATCTTCTTGTCACTCGAATCGGTATTAACAGTCAAATTATATATATATATATATATATATATATATATTATGATGAGGTATACACTGCATGCCACTGGTCCACACACAGTGTAATGGAAAGGATTTGAACATGTCAAATAATGATTTAGTGGAAGTCTGGCCTGGTCAAAAACTGAATGTGAATACGTTGCATGGGTCTGCAGTGGTCTGCCTTCCATCCCTCCACTAATTTCATTTTGCATCTGCTTTGAGAAATGTCATGACTTGTAGAATTTCCACGTGGCACAAAGAACTGGTGAGAGAAGAAGGCGACTGGAAGCAGCAGAGAGCTGGATAAAATGAAGAATGGGAGGAGAACTAAAGCAGCAGTGGGCCTTCTGCCATTGTCCTGCTCTCTCTTCTCTGTCTAGAACTGGCAGACAGACGGGCAGCCTGTCTTTGAATGCCATTGTCTTTTCTTTTATACTCCCCAGCTCCAGTGAATTTAACTGAATGCATTAGTACCTGTGCAGCCATAAAGAGTGAAATGCATTTCAATGAATTCAGATTCCTGCACCATAGTCAACCAAACAGCTACATCTTTTAGTGCTTTAAAAACTACTGCTACTTCAGAGTTGATGTCATTGAGGGCATTACTCTTTGTCTTCATGAGCAGGGGTGCAAACTTTACATAAAAAGATGGGCCTCCTGCCAGCTAGGCATTCCATAAGAAACACCATCCAATCCCAGAAAAAATGGAGTACCTCAGTACAGGAGCAACTGCTGTGCTGCCTCAGTAGAACTACTACCACCAATGTCCTAGCTCATAAATCTGCGGGCTGTCTGGTTATCACCTCAAGCCAGTGAAAACGATGCACATTTCACTCTTTTTTTTTCCACTTGTTATTACCTGGTAATTAGTGGCAGCCCACTACGAATGCAAGGGAAGCCCCAGAGATGAAGAACCACAATTTAAGACTGGCATAAATACCGTTTTGGGGCAGTGAATAATAGCCCTGACTAAGCTCCAGCAGCACTACGGGGTACGTCGAAAAATCAAACAAGAAGCGACTGTAGATTTAATAGGCAATTAGTGTCTGCAGTAAGGGTGCTGTAGCGTAGATCTGTGGGTTTGCTTTGCGTGAAGAAGAGAAAAAAGAAGAACTAACGGCATTGGACGCCAAGGCCCTCCTGCCCATGTGGAAACTTTGCATACCTGTATGTTTATCAAGCCCTTGTCTGTTTCTGTGGCAGAAACAGCTTGCAATTACGATTTGGATTATAGAATGGTGCAACAGATTAGACATACACAGTTAATTTAATTAATTAAATAAATCAAATTAATCTGTTACAGTACTGTTTAAGACCCCCCCATGCCCCGCCCCAATTCTTACACAGGAAAATACACCAGTCAAAGTCATAAGAACAGTTTTAGTGAAGTGACATCAGGTTGCTGGAATTATTCTGTGGACAGCATAGCTGTGGTTGAGAAAGGGAAGGGTCCGGAACAGTGTGAGGGGAGCTGATGGAGCCCCCATGATCCCCCAATGGTGCTGTGGTCTCCTGCAGTAAATAAAGTGGAAAGGCAGCCATGGGGGTCAAAGACCGGACCAATCATAGGCAAGGAAGTTAAAAGGCTGCGGGTGTAGAAAGGGGAATAGAGGGATGGTGAGCAGGTCCAGAATAAATGAGTGAGGTTCAAGTGCAGGAAGTGCAGAGAGATGATGTAGCTGAGGGATAATGAGTCGAGGTAACCTGTAATCTAGAGGATTTCAGTGGTGTGTGTCTGGAGTACAGAGACTGTATTCCTCCCACAGAAACTTTCCAAAAGCTCCCTGTCCTACACTGGAGGTATTGGTGGTTCATCTGCTGCAGCTCAAGGTGATATCAAACCTGAGAGGTGCCTGTGTTTTTTCTGCATGTATATGTGAAAAACACAACCTTGTTTGTTACTGAGTTTCAAACCACATTAAATGAGCAGTTAAGTAGTTCAGTTTCACCCCCCCCCCCCTTCCCCACTTTACCCTGCCGAGACATGGAAGGCTAAAGAAATATCTATCTATCCCAACATGTTTTTTATCTTGCTGTTTCTTCAACCAGTGCTGCTTTCCAACACACATGTCACCTTCAGTAATTGTACGTGTGTCTGATCATCCATGTGCTTAAAAAACAAAGGATGATTGAGCTTCAAATGATGGAGGCCTGCTGCTGTGGGTTTGGGAGACGGTTGAAGGATGAATGGTTCACAGAGTGTGACATCCTCTGCCTCCCCAGAGAAAAGGGAGGCACTGGTGTGTGAAAGCTAGAGATGGCGTCTGATGGGCGCTGGGATTCAGACTCCTGTCCACCATCACCAACACGAGTCCCCTGCCCCCCTCCAATCCAAAACAACCCCTACCGCCTCATGTTCAGTCAACCTCAGGGCCACACAGGCCCTAATCAGCAGGATGCAGAGCATCTCTGGGGGCAGTAGAGCTGGGCCCCATCTGCCCGGTGACTCTTACTGTCTACTCTATCCAGCCTTAGGCCCACACACACTTCCTTAGCTGCTTCCTACACCAGTGCCCTCGTGTCATTATTGACTCTTTCTCCTCGACTGCGTCCTCCCATCCAGTGCCTGCCACTCATTACCTTCGGACACCTTTGAGACAGCAGTATATCCTTCCCTAAGATTGAACAACACAACGGCAACAGCTGAAACACTGACGGAGTAAAAGACAATCGTCAATGTTGACCTGGGCTGTGAGGAATCTAACAGAAAACATTTTATTGCACAAGATATTTCATCTTGTGCAGGTTATATATATATATATATATATATATCCTGCGTCATTATATATATATACTGTATATATATATCCTGCGTCATTCACGAATAATGGTTTTTTTTTTTTTTTAATTATCTAAAATGGCCCTGTGCCAGGCAGTAAGGCTAACACATAAGCTAAGCCTGTAAGGGCAGGTGTGATGGGGAGCAGCTGTCATCACATTTTCTCCATGACTACTAATCACTAGCAATTGCTTGACACACACGGCAAGACATAAACAACAACAACCCATCAAGTCATCTCTCTAAATCTGTGGATTAAAAATGAATGAGTTTTTTTTTCACTGAGCTCAACTAAGAAAGTGACAGAGTAAATCCAAAAACACTTCTCCTGCGACATTTGAGCCTGGTGGTCTGAGTCTGGTCAGCGTCAAAGGGAAAGTGCGAAGGTAAAAAGTTGATTGGCCCTTGTGTTCATATAAAGACTTGTGAAGAGTGAGTCAGTAATTACCTGTATTTACAGAAACAACCTGAGGGTTGACAGGCTGGTTTGTACAAACATGCATGAGTGCATTTGATTTTAGGCAGGCCAGGATGTGATGACAGCAGCGGTTTACAAAACAACTTTGGCCGTAATATTATCTCATCCTAGATATTAAACTAAGACACAGGTTTGTGTTTGAATGCCACTTTATAGTAATTTAATTTTTGATTCACACTAACAATTAAACACCTGTCAATGAATGTTGCGTCTGTAACCGTTGTTTGTGTGAATATACTGGATTAAAAACAAACTGACCCACAACTTTAAGGACAAGCACGTCACTGAAGCCACACCTTGAGTAAACTAAGATGTCATTGCAGTGGTGATGACAGAGAAGCAGAGAAAGGAGCTCTGTGCTGTGCTGTGCTGCTGACTGAGTCTGACGAGTGCTCCTTAAGTGTTGGCCAAGTACAATATTTAGAGGTGATGGTCCTGCTCTATACTAATCGAGTCAGAATGCAATGCTGCTGGTCAGAGGAGCCTTTTTGCAGCAGTAGATTGGCTCCAGGAACATTAACACAGTGTGCAAGCACATAAAGTGACGACAGAATATGCTGTAAAAAAAAACCTTTGATCTGAGAGCAATTAAAAAATTAGATTAGCTTGGATCAAAGCTCTACAGCAACAGTGTAACATTAGCCTCGATAGAAACACTGGATTTGTGTCAAACCTTCATTTTTTTTTATCAAAATTTTAATACATACATGACTACTAATTTTTTATAAAGAAAAACAAATTTCTTCACTTAAAAAAAATCAACAATGTAGACAATCCCTGCTGGTCAGCCATAGTACTGCAGCTAACTCTGCATTAAGGATTTGTTTAGAAACTCCGTCCGTAAACAAACGTCGGTACTTTAGGGTTGGAAACAATCAATCGTTACTTTTCCTTTTTAATTCCCAGTAGTGGATATATTGTTAGTTAGTAGTACTATATGGTCATCTTTGTGTTTGACAGATTTTAATTAATTAGATACGTCTGAGATCAACAGTTATTTGGTACCTGCACCACAGGATGTCCTCCAGAAAGTGCCTTCACAGCTCCTCTGCTGCCTTCAGTCTCATAGTGGGCCCTGTGATGGGACTTGGGCTGCACCTCAATCTGTAGGTTGTATGGGCCAGAGCAGGATGGAAGCTGCCAGTCCAGAGCAGGCAGAGATGGGCTGAATTAAGAAGAAATAGTTATGAAGTTAATACAACATTTGACATAATGACGGTCATGTTACTGTTATTTGATCGAGTGAGCGTCCATTGGTCTCTATCTCATCTGTGCCACATATTTCTTGTCTGCTATGGAGAAAAATATTTTAAAATATTTAAGCTTTTTTTAATAATTCACATTTAATTCTGCTCAGGAAGAATTTTCCATGGTTTGAGCACCATAAAATGGTTACAAAAAAAAGATGTCTGGGCATAATTAAAGTTATCTTCAAATTAGGGCATCACCCAACTGGCTTGAATATTTTTTTCCATTTAATCATCTCTAGTTTAATCAACTAAAATCACTTGCTGACATGTTTAATTTCTTGGGCCTAGGTTCTTGGGCCATTAGTTGCCCCCTTTTAAAGAAAATCAAATGTGACCTGGTCAGAAAGCAGTATGTTTTTTATTATGATGTGACAGGTGGAAACAGCCATGTGCAGCTTAACATACTGACAGTTGAAAGTTCTAGAGCAAAAGAATAACAGAACTAGACCGAAATTATATCAGCCTGTCATTTAATGAGGTCACTATTCATTACAGATTGATAATTCAAACACAAGATCACAGCAGTTCAGCAGAAGTTAGAATTAAATCTGCAGCTGGCATCTTGTTTCTGAGAATCACTACTTCCCATGTGAACCATGTGGTGTTAATCTATCAAAACAAACATATGCAAGACAATCTTTCTCTATGTCCCGGATGCCTGGTAAACCCAAACCTCTGACCTGAAGAGTGGCTCAACTGAAACAATCTCTGACATCTTTGAGAAACTTGTGAGCTGTTTGTTGACCCAGAACGAACTGATTTCCCCCAGACGGGCTTTATCTGCTCACTCAGTGCTTGGTATCACCTCAGCTCCACAAAAGGAGATGGGCTGATGGCGGCGGCTGCCAGTGCAGTGAGTCGCCTGAATAATCTACAGACTGCTTTCCTTTTAGCCAAACCTGTCACCATTACTTCCTGTTGCTCACTATCTTAATCAAACACTGAATTTCCAACAGGAAAGAATGCTATTGGGGGAAAATGCAGCTAATGAAAAAACTGGTGATGGAAAAAAATATAGAAATCATCCAAGCTATGTGTGTGCACGCACTATTGTGTGCATGTTTGTGCTATTTATACGAGTTGCCTTAGTAACATTGCAACAAACACATTGGTGATGTGCATGATTTGTGTGATCATATTTGCCATAAGTATTCTTGTTCCTGCCATAAATAAATGACCCAAAACTTAGAAACATAGACAACTTTTCACAGTAGTGATGCTGATGATGAATTGTTTTTCCTACAAACTCTCTTCACCTACCTGAGATAAGGCTTGGGTTTTGACCATGAGTAAGGATGCTGTGGTACATCCAGGAAGCCTCCGCAGTAGTTCTCCTTCTTGAGGGCTAGTCGAGAGGCGTAGTCCTCATGGCAGAGCTCCCCTTCAGGACCTAGCTCCTCTCCACCAGGCTCCATTTTCATGCTCATTGAGGATGAGTGGTCGAGCATCGTCTTCCGTGTCTTTACTGGGATCCCCTCCCCTATGTCTATTATCCCGTCAGTGGTTAGAGCATTGATGGCAGCCACAATGGCCGAGTTGGTGTACTGGTTTGTGTTGGCAAGCCAGTTCTCATCTGTGACACTGACCCGGGGAGAGCCCTGTGGAGAGGGGGTGGGTGACTGAATAGGTGAGCAGGATGTCTGCCGGTAGGGGGTGCTGTTGAGGTTGTACTTTCTCTTCCCCATTCCTCCCCCTGCGCTGTTTCCACCACTGCCACTTCCAGTGTAGGATGGAGAATTGGGCCTTGAGCCGCGAGGTTGAGCTGGCCAGCCTTCCTCTGCCATGGCTCCAATCTGAGGAGAGGTGGAGGGTGAATTGTGGGGGGAACCAGCAGGGCCACTGGCATGTGGGCAGGACAGAAGTGTGGATGACCCTTTGGGAGAAACACATGGAGACTGCCAGGGTGAGTTCTGTGGGGAATTTTCATAGTTGTAGAAGCCAGACTCGTAGGAAGAGGCCTCAGAATTACAGCTGCGTGATGAGATGCTACTTGCAGGGCTGAGGCAGCTGGGATCACGGTAGCCATCTGCGTTGGGCAGCGTCAAGGTGACAATGGAGTTGATGCCTCGTTTGAAGATGTGGTCTTCACTGTTGCTCTCTTCTACCTCAATCTCAGGGTATTGACTGTAGGCCGTGATTTCAATGCGGGGGCTCTCCAAGGTGGGGGCTCCATTAGGTCTCAAGCCATGTGGCAGGTAATAGCTGGACGCTATATGGTTATCATTTTGGATGTTGTAGCCTGCCTGATGGCAAGAAGAAACTGAGATGACTGGGCTAGACTGTAAAGTGTGGTACTGGTTGGCCAAACAAGGGTTTCCCATCCCCAGTGGAAGAGACAGGCTGACATTTGGTGTGTAGCTGTGAGCATCTAAAAAAAAAAAAAAAAAAAAAAGATATAATTTTTAGTTGAATATAAAAAATAAGCCCAATAGGTCATTGTTTTAACAGAGTAAATAGTTGCAAATGTGGCCAGAGGAGGAATTCTGCCAAATTGATTCTGGAATAACAGAATACCACAGGTTAACAGATTCAAAACATCTAAACATCTAAAAATGTTGTTAAACAAAAATGTTCTTGTTGGAAACACATGGTTTGACACCATTTAGCAATTACAATAAGTATACACAAAACAAAAATATTGTACCAGCAGGTACCCATCATAGCACCCCCTGCAGGGGGGAAGAGGCAGCTCAATGTTAATAAACACTTTCCACAAATCTTCTCCCTTCAAATCTTCATTTTTTGTGATTATGGTAGCAATTACCTTGATTACATTTTAGAACAATACCCCTAGTCAACTCCCACCGACATGTCATGCAGTGACTGACTGCCTCCTCTACTCATAAACATCTGGAGAAGCTTAGCAATTATCTCAAAAACACATACTGTCCAAAGCTGATGTGCAGTCGCAAGCCACAAGGCCACTGTGTATTTTAACAGTTCACCTGAGTCTGTGTATGTGACGCACCCTGCTGTCATATGTACTCCACAGGAATTCCTCCTGCAGCGCTGATAGATGCTTTGTTTGATTGATTGCATCACTCACTGGGAGAATTAGTCCCTCCCCTGTGGAAAACTGACAGCACTCTCGCATCGTCCCACGGCAGACCCACAAACACACACACACACCAATACACAAGCTCTCTTTCTCTGACTATCCCCAGACAGGGTGTTTTTTCTCTCTGTCTCCCCCCTGTCTCTGAAGGAAGGGGAAAAAGACACTAAAGGAAATCATAATGCAACAGGCCCAGTCAGTGGACATACGTATAGCCAGCTGGCTGCTGTGTCAACAGTTGTAAACCCTACGTCGTGTTTTATTGATAATGACCGTCACACAGTAAAAACTGTTCCGTCTGAAACCCTGTGAAGGGGCATTCCCCCTTTGATGCAGTGAGCTATATTTGTCAACCACAATACTGTGCATCACATGAAATGATAAATCCGTCACATGTTACACAATATGTGTACAGACAGTTTATTACTACAGGCAGGTTCTTTAAGATTACCTCACTGCTCTCATATATATATATATATATATACACTTTTATATACTTTTCTTTTTTTTTTACTTAATTTCAATCACCTTAAATACAAGAATTAAAAAAAGGTAATTCTCGGTGTCTTATTTAAAGATTATTTAAAGCTAATTTCTCTTCAAAACACACCTCTCACAGGTTTAGTCTGGACACACTGGCTACACCCAAACACATGGTCGCTACATCCATTCCGCCCATCATGCTGTGACCTCATCTGTCCTCTGATGGTGTCTCTTCTCTAAAGGTGAACAAACACTACAGTCCCCGCTGACTTGTCTTACAGTTGCAGCTGTTTTTAACATATGTGTGTGTGCGAACAGTGTCGATCACTACTATGAGGCACAACACACTTCCCTTCATTTAACGCCCACTCACACACACTGAGGCTTTCGCTCCTGTGTGCGGCAAGGTCATAAAAAATAAGAAAAAAAAGAAGCAAACTTTTGCGAGGCACGAACACAGGCTTTGCTGAACTAACAGAATTACAACAGATCAAAGTTTGTGGGAAGGAACAAATGAAAAGAAAAAAAAAGAAAATTGACTCACAGGCACTTGAGGCCATGCATCTACAACTGTCTGCCGTGGGTTCAAAATGCAGTGTAAGCAGAGTTCACATGAAAACACAGATTATTGCATGCCTTTTCAGTCTGCATTCATTTTTCTCAATTATACTATCACGATCAAAACGCTCCCTCCCCACAAGTGAACCAGCATGACTGAAGAATGGATGAGTTTATCCTCCAGAATGTGGTTTGGGGCTGGGCTTGAAGTGGTGGGACCTCAGGGGTCGCGCACAGAAGTCAGCTGCAGCCTGTGGAACTAAGAACCCCAGGGCCCTCTACTGCACATGGCTGACCATGGGCTACGATGAATCACAAATAACGAGTGTTTGTGTGTGCCTCGGTTTGTGTGCAATAATAAAGCAGCACCAGGCGTTCTGCTGAAGCTGTGTGTGGTTCAGCATGTCACCTTGTCAGGCAGAGCTACACAGCATCCATGAACGCACAGATCACAGCCTTTAACTCTCCCTCTCAAACACTCACACACACGTTTACACACACACGCCTGTTACCAATTATAAAGCTTTGGACGGAGCGACTGAAATGAATAATAACACAGTCTGCGCCAAATCGTCTGAAACCTCAAAGACAAAATGAAACGCTCCAAATCCACTGTGAAGAAGTGAAAATTAAGCACCTGGCCTGACGGCAGCTTCTGATTGGTCTAATTATGTTTAACCATTAATATAAAATACACTGAAAAAATAGAATTTTTCAACAGATAATATTGAAGTGTCTCCAGAATAAAAGCACATTCTTCTGATATGGAGTTGTTGTCCAACAACTTTAACCTCCTAGTTTTGGTCACATTTTCATCAGTGTAAAAGATGAATCACTTTTGACTGCTTCCTTCTTTAGGAGTTGCCACAGTGGATAAACAATAATGAAGTGTCTTTTCAGGGACACACTGACACAAAATTGAAAATGTAACCTGGAATTTGTAAATTCAAAAATAAATAAAAAGGTAAATATTTAAACTTCAATAGGAGGGTAGGGGCAGATACAGGTAAAAGCAGCATCAGCATCCACTGTGTGAGGGTCACCTGCTGCACAGCTGCAGACACGCCACGGTGTGGATGCTGAACACTCTTATTTATTACATTACAATCACAATTTGTCACATTTAAAACTTGATGACAGCATACTCATTTAAAGCAGTAAAACAATTTTGTGGCATACTCATTTAAAGCAGTAAAACAATGTTGTGTTTTTTTTTTTCTGCTTTACACATTTTTGCACAGAAAGTAACTCATCACGTCTCCAAGTGAGCTGTTTTATAAATCAAACTCAACGTCAGTGAAGTTAACATCACCGCCGTAGAGCGGGGAGACGGTGCCGTACCTTCTTCTGCAGACTTCATGTTGACGGTGATCGAGGTGAGAAGCTGAAATGCACGCTCTTTACCGGCTGCTGCTCCGAAGCTGAACTCGGACTCTGCGCTCAGGCTGAAGAAATCCTGCATTCAACAAGCGATGCGCACAACTTTGCCTTCGGTCGTCACGGAGTCAAAGGCAACGCATTCGCCGACAATTGTTATCGCAACAGTGGATTCACTTCATGCACTTTTTAAGCAAAAGCCTAGTCAAAAACATCGCGACGCGCGGAAGTTTATATGTAGAAATGCGAAGGTTTAACCGAGCCCTCCAGGAGACGCGGAGACAAAAGCTGGATGTGGAGAGCGGCGCAGGTAGTTGCTGAGGGGAGCAAAGGGGGTGAGGTGAGTGGAGTTCTGCTCAGACCTGTGAAGCTTTTCAAGAGTCTCCCCCAGTTCAGTGACGCACTGTGGTTTGTCAGAGGGGCAGGCTCCGGTGCTTTTAAAGCTGGAAAACACCCTCCGTCCTCCCGTCACTGCGCCGCCCATCCTTGGATGACGCGTCCGGCTCTTGCAACCCCTCTGGATTGCCTGATGATGTCTTCTACCCAGGGATGCCGCCATCAGAACAGTGGGGTGGTGTTGTATGTGTCTGCGTAGAGAAGACGAATATATTTAAAAAAAACAATAATAATAAAAAAAATAAACCCTTCTAAAATTACAACCAAAGCCTGAATCTGTTTTTTTAATAAATATTTAGATCTTTAAATAACAGAGCAAAACAAAAACAGGTTTCAGTGTATTCAGCAACTGAGCAATTGGTCAAAACGCGGCCAGACAGATTGAAAAAAAAGAATGTTTAATAAAAATAAAAAATATAACAATAATAATAATTGCATATACCCATGTCTATTTCTTTTTGAAAAAGGAGAAACAGGTATCTGGGTATAACAGGATCTGTCAACTGAATCAACTTTCATTTAGTTCCATCTCATGTCAGACCCTAAGAACTAAATGATAATTAAGTAATGAATCAGCTTCTGCTCACCATAATAGCAGCACGTTGATGCACCAGCAGACTGTGATAAGTCAGGGTACATTTATAAAGTAGATTTACCTCATATGGCCGTGTTCATCCCAGTATTATGGCATATTTATGACAATAGGACGTGAAGATCAAACACAACTTTTTGAGGAGTTTTGTCCTTGGCCTTTAGACAAGGAGGTTCCTCCTGATCCTCTGAAACCTTTGACTGGGATTTACTGTAGATACTTGGATTTTTTTTCCGTTTTTCACAAAGTTCAGCAGAATAGTAGTGAGCCATGACCATTACTTTGACATGGATGCTCCTGAAATAGATCTTTATGTCAAACCTGATGCAGGCTAACATGCTAACTCAGGGAATTTAATTCTGGAAGGAGGATCTGTAAACATTTTATGACCTTGATTTTGTTTTTCTTCTGTCTGCTTTCTTCCGGTGATTAGCCAATACAAATTATCTTCCTCCGTCTGCCATCTTTCTGGGGCCTTCTCTGTCTCTCTTTCTCTCTCTCTCCTCATTTGTCCTTTACTATCATATGGCTCTCGTCCATCAATAAACACTTTTAGTGTATTCTTTAGTGTGTCAGGTTTACTGTATGGATTTGCAGTGCCGATTGGCCAGGCTCTGTCATCGTCTTCTATATCACATAATAATTGCAGTGAAAATAATCTTCGTCTTCCTCTTTCTTTCTGCTTTTGACATTTACATTTGACTTCGATACAGAGGAAGGGGAGGAGGAGGGTTGCCTCCTACACAAACAGCTAAGTGTGGTTTTTCAGCACATCTAGTGATTGAACTACAACAGCCTTCCTCGTTACCTTGACAATGGTGTCATTTTATGATTGTTAACATTACTCAAACATTCGGCCTTTTCCCCCCTGACTAAAATCAGAATGCAAAAGCTATCGCCTTTCATTTCTAAATGTGTTTTCCTCGTGTTTGTGGGGAAAATGGTTTCACAGCTTTGCCTAAAATAACCATCTCTAACCACTGACAGCATAAACACACCGTGTTCCTCATCTCTCTCCCTTCCTCACGTTGTGTCAGATCAGTCCAGAGTGAATCTGTGGACACGAGGCTGAGTGAAATGTCTATTTGAAGGGAGAAACCACAATCTTTAATTAAAAGACCATTTCCTCAGTTGCAGCCCTGATACTAAAAATAAACATAAAATTACAACAAGTTGACTTCTTATTGAGGTAACACAAGGTGAAAGGTCATGAAACTGAAGCATTCCTGGAAATTATCCAAAACATCTTTGACAACATTTTAGAGTTGAAAAGAATTAACCCCCTTTAAATCCCTGATAGCGGTCCATACCTGGGCCACGGCGTAATCACTGTTGTACTGTTGTTAGCACACGGCTACTGTAAATTCACAGTGACAAATGAAGGTTCAGCGTTCAGCTATTTGTCCCATTACGCTCTACTGCATGGCAGAAATCACAGACTGAGATGGTGATGAGCAGGAATATTACTGAGCTGGAAGCTGAAGTGAGTGAAATTAACTTTGGCTGTGATGAGCTACAATATAATTCATTCTGAATGAGAGCCAGATTTCTAGGGAAACTGGAAAAGACTCCCCTGAGCCGAAAATGCAGCTGGCAATCTGGAGGACGATCACACATAATCAGTAGCAGACTGCCTTTTTGGGGGACTGTGGGGCAAAAGCGTAAGCAGACTGTATGGAGGGAAAGTAATAGTACGCTGTGTTTTCTTTGCCTACAGTAGCTCTCCGGCATCAGCTGCGGCTTGGCCACCGTGCACGCGAGGTGAAGGATGAAAAAGGCAGTGTCACATACTTTGAGAGGTGAATTATGATACAATCCCTCAGCGGTAGGAAAAAAGTAGCTACACAACTGATTGGCACTGTCAGGGGGGGAAGGGGCCAGCGCTGGTTAAGACTCTGTGGTGGGGCACGATTGGGTGGCAGTCTGAAGGTTTATCTTGATGGATTCTGTGCTACTGAGGAACGTACCATTAGCTCCACTGTCTGTCAGCAGAAGTCAGAGCTCTTGAGACAATGTCTGTGGTGGTGAACCTGACAGCCATCAGGTCGTTAAGCTCTCTCTACCTCATTTACAACCTATGGCTAATGTAAAAAACTCATGGTGTAGTACTCCTCCTAATGTATATGTGAAAAACAAACCACACCAGAGCCACTTTAATATCTTCATATTTCATAAGTCTGGCACTGTTTTGTCTTAGTGGCATGATCCAGACTCCGCTTCAAATCCACACTGAACATAAACTCACACAAGGTAAGGATTTAATTTTTTTTTTTAAATCCATACTGAGCCTCTCAATTTGCCAACATAAGCTTATAGTGCACTCAGGAAAGTCCTCATTTAAATTACACTTTAGTCCAAATCCCTGAACAATATGGTTTCAAGGAGTGACTTTAAAAAAGGAATTTTTTTTTTAGATATTTGACCAAAAGAAATTAAATTCTAGTGACCATCTTTGTACCATGTTTGAAAGACTGCAGCTGGGTACCACGGCCTACCCTAACATTTCTAACTGAGTGACAGGATCTGTGTTGTGATTGATGTCATAACATCTAAGCCTATGACAGGTTGCACGGCGGTATAGAAAAGTTGCGTCTGCTTTAAATCATCTGTGGAAATGTACGATTATAATTCATAACTCAACTTAATGTGGACCTGTGACAGCGTGCACACCGAGCGGCCGCAACATGTCTGCATAGAGCATTAGAGCCGCACTACGTGTTTCGCCCAGATTTATGACCGTCCGCTTCTCGCTCATGCACTCTGCAGCAAACGATCATTGCTCATGTCTTGTAAACAGGAACATGCTGCTTTTTCATTTGAACAGATTGGGATGTTGATGATTTTTTTTTCTACCTCCACATTTATGGCTTTGAAAAAAGCCACTGTGCAGTACACGCATCGTAATGTGCCAAAATCAAAACCCAGACCTCAGTCAGTCTGTCTCTAGAACTGCTTCACGTGAAGAGACTGGGAATCTTCTCCTCTGTAGTTAATGCTACTGATGATTTGATAAATGGCATGGGAGGGTTTTTTTTTCTTGAGTGTCAGAGCTGCATTTAATGCCAGCCTCTTTAATGTTTACTACTGTACCAGTGGTTTGGCCCAGGAGTCAGACTACTGACATGCCAGCTTTGTTAGACACCCAGTTCTTTAGACTCTCCATAAATGGTTTACTCATAAAAAAGTGACCAAAACATGACAGGTATAAATAATCACTTCGAAAACTTTCCAAGTTGTGAGCTCAGGCTTGTTGAATTTTGTTTGTCTAGACAACAACATTGGCATCAGTTGGGAAAAAAAGCATTTGTGTCACACAATAATATGAAAACGGACAATCTTCTTCTTTTTCGGACAATAACGTATGAAATGTAAATCAAAGAAAAAGGACGGTGTTATACACAAAAAATTACAAACCCAACTCCTCATACTGCACTTAATCCCTTCCTATAAAAACATATAATTGATGTTTGACATATCCAGGGGGTGAGGAGGTGGGGAGGAATGTGGGGGAGAGGGCACCCCGGCATTTGAAGTTCTCTACACTGTTATTACCTATTTTCTATTTGCTGCGACTTGAATGGGGCTGATGGTAACTGGCATAAACAGTCATTTGTGTGTACTCTGTTGATACAAGTTTATTACTCAGCCGCAGTCGAGCCTGAAGCACGGCTGCAGCCACAGACGTGGTTTATTAGTCATTCTTTTCATTGTCATCTAAAGCGAGTGCTGATGGTGTTAAATGGAGGAGTCTGCGGTTAATCAAGGCAAAGTTGTGAATGGCCACGGTCATTTCACGCCCTGCAGGAGTGGTGTTTTTTTTTTTTCACACTTCCACACTTCTCCTTTTCTACCTTGCCAGTGTTTTGGTGCACGGATGTGCGTACTTTAGTTCTCACAATGGAAAACTTCTCAGAGCTATCTTAGGCATGTCTGGACACTGCTGTATGTTTAGCCACTGGCTTTTTTCAGAGATTCCGCTTATGAACAGGAAGTAACGTACACGTCTGCCATGTAAACTGAAGGAGCGGGGCCGTCATTGTCACATGGGCATTGACTAAGATTTGTGTCCTGGTAGAAAATAGGGAAGGATCTAAGTACGGCTGCAGCTTTGACACTGATGTTTACATTTACTTCAGGTTATTTTTATTCCTATGGCTTCTGGCAAGGTGTGACCAAACATTTACAAAAGGTGGGCCACATAATCATGTGAAAACAAAACGTAATAAGTAATAAAAATGATTTACTCTGAATGTACCGAAGTCCAAGCTAACCAAACCTGTTCATCTGTTCTTATGCATTAAATGAAGCAAAATGAGAGTTTTTAATGGTCTAAACGGTTTAAAGTTTTCCGTTGTTGGCCAAGAGTTTGAATGGAAATTGCTAAATATTAGAAATAGCGAAAAGAATATATAAAGAAAATTGACATAGAAATAGTTTAACTTTAGCCAAGTAGCTCAGATTAAGAGAAGGGAAAAACATAAAAACTTTAAATTAAATTATATAAATCAAATATAAATCAAATTCAAGAAGAATTTGAGTGTTATTAAACTGCTTTTTTTTTTTTTAAATTGAAAAGTGTGTCTTCCATTTAGTTTACATGTGCTTTCGGTATAAAACCAGTAGGGAAATAACATGACATGTCACTGTCACAGATTCAATTCAATCGATCAAGTACTGATGAATAACCACTTTAAACAATTTAACAAATATGCGATGAAATTTAAATAGTTATTGTAGGTGAAACTGTTTTGATGAAACAAAGACCAAATGCTGTGGATTGGTGCGGGCTTTAAATAGAGAGAAGAACTTTTACCAAACTGCACCCTCTCGCTGTTGTTTGCTTTGTGTCTGCTTTTGCTGACAGCGTGAGTTGTGATAAGAGCTCCGCCGTGGGTACCGTATCTTACCCACATGTGGGGCTAATTCAGAACCCGTGGCCAATAACAGTTTGTATAGGTCAAAGACATGTGACCTATGAGACAATTTTCCAACATCAATTCTCACACAGATAATTACTCATGCGAGACATCAGAGGAGGGGCCATATTGTCGGTTCCAAACGCAAACAGTCTGATATAAGCACAGCTTCCTCCCCTCCGTCTGTTCAGAGGTGTAGATCTTCAGGCTGGTTAAACATCACAGCCATAGTTATGGGATTTTGAGGGCGCACGGTTTCATTTTTCCTGGCCTATGACTGTCACATCCAGGTCCATTAGAGTGATTTAAAACCTCGTGTATATGCCAAGGCCATTTTCACTGCAGGCTCTGCAGCTTGGCTGCTGTACATTAAACACATTTATAAAGAGCCACACAGCCGGGGGTTTGATTATTTGAAAGGGTCACTCGCAAATCTGTGCTCAATCTCTTTATGTCTGGATTCATTTTGTCAACTTAGTACCAAGCAGCCGTTTGTCACAGGGAGTTCGAGCCTTTTCATAATGTTTTATTAGACGTAGTTCTTGAATAAGTCTCAGTGTAAACACACAGGTTTTTATCCACTCCAGAAAAATAACAGCTGTAGTTTGGCAAAGAATTAATAAATGATTTTTAGTGTTTTTTACTGACAAATCTGGTTCTTGGCATCACAACAAGCTCAATGATTATAAGATGTGCATAAATCTCACGCAGAAGTTCGGCTGAGGTCTCCAGGATCGAAGACGGACAAAAACAACAGAGACACGTTGTGTGGTCAGATGAGTCTGCGTTTAAAAAAAACAAAAAACAGATGTATAATCCCTGTGCCAAAGATAATCCAGACGGTTTTCAATGGCCTGTCAAGCAACTTCAGTTTTGTAGGAGTTCATCAGGAGTCTTCTCACAGGGGATGAGCACATTTAGAAAAGGTCATATTGATAGGAAGGCTTTCATGGTTATGTCATGTTCTTTTCAGCAACACAGTGACAGACGTCCCCTGTCTGACTTCGTGGGCATAGAGCATGTGTTTGATTGGCCTGTCTGCAGTCCAGAGCCGTTTCTTCTTGAAAATGTCTGCAACATCATAGAAAAGTAGATAAAAAAAAACCAA